TTAAAATGAACTAATAAACCAGAAAATAATAAAGTTAAAGTTGCAAAACAAAATGAATTTTATGGGTCATTTGGTTTGTTGTAACAAAAAAATTAGACAGAAAAGAGATTATTGCTAGTCTCTACATAATGAAATAATTAAAATTTTGAATGGACATTTTAAAAATGAGCCATAATTTAAGATATTTATTTATCCTAAATGTTACATTTCCTTATAACGGACGACCATGAAAAAAAACGAAGAATCCAAGACATCCAAAACTGAGTTTTCAAGATGCATGTCTCTGTACAGTCGATGGACTACTTTTATGGATAGATATGCACATGAATTATGTAATTGCCAACTTTAGACTTTGAGAGAGAGAGAGAGAGAGTATTTTTATGCAATTGCCAGTTTTAGACTTTGAGTGCTATGGTTGACTCGCGACTTATCGAGGCTTTTAAACCTCCATGCTAATAAGCTTTGGTAAGAACTTACAGTTTCAAATACACGGGACACAGCACCAAGTGTGGCAACTATGTAATGACCCTTGATTTGGTTTTTTTTTTTTAGCAATGTTATTGGAATTTAATTTACTGACTTAATTTATTATAACTTTTGGATTGACTGTGAATCCTATCAAACATTGGAACTTGATGTTGAATCAATAGTTTCAATGAAGTCACATCATTAAATCAACAAATTGAGTCAGATTTTTAGGCCCAAAAAATATTAGTCTTATTTTTTGGGGGGAGAAAAGGGGACTTGAACATTTGACCTCAAGAAAGCAAAATTTTCACAAGTCAAGGAATACCATTAGACCATAAGTCAGTAGTTTAATAATGATCATTGATTAAAGTCATCAAATGGTAAAAGGGTAAAAACCCTTTGAATTCAAAATAAGAGAGTCAGTGAGAGTTCACAATTGACTGGACAGTTAGAGGAATATGACTTTTGAAATCTCGAGAAATTGCGAAACAAGATATCATGAGCTGCCAGTTGAAAACGGTTCGACTTACATTCACGTATCTCAAGGGATAGATCTTTGATCACAAGTCATGGTCAAAAAAGATGAATCAACGATTGAGAGTCATCCTATAAATTGTAGAGACTAAGCTACCAAAAAGTGATCCCACAATCAAATCACAAATACTCTTCACAGAGCCAACTTATTTTTTACTCAATACTTGCTTTCGAGTAACTTTTATGTTTTCCTGTAACACATCACTCCGATGATCTTTTAATATTTTCATTTAATGTTAAGTCTATTGTTATGTTTGTCTTTCAGATTTAAATCTAGCTTGCTCATTATTTTGCATTTCCACAATTTACTTTTACTTTCAATAGTGTTCACACGTCTCTGACCGGTGAAATTATTTAAAGTCGTTGAATATCCAATACATAGAAAAAACTTAGACGTAACCTTATGCCTCACTATAGTCACCTGAATAATCACAATTTTTAGACCCCAATGTTGGTTTGAATAGTTAAAGTGGTACGTGTTTGGATTTTAAATTCACTTGAATTTGGCATGCGCGTTATCCAAAAATACGCCAAACAATAACACAAATGACTCTCAAACTATATGTGTTTTTAAAATTGTTCCTCGACTTGTAATAGTCTTAGTCTAGTCCTTAAATTATGTATTCTTTTTTTTAGTATAAAGTGTTCAGAATTATACCGATTACTCTCTCGAGCTCGAAGACCGCTTTTTGTAACTCAAGAGGGTTTAAAAACATATCCCCCGATAAAAAAGGGTGGCTAACCCTTAAACTATGTAAGACATGACAATTAGTTTCTTCGGTTCAATATGACCGTTAAAATGAACTAATAAACTAGAAAATAATAAAAGTTAAAGTTGAAAAACAAAATGAATTTTATGGGTCATTTGGTTTGTTGTAACAAAAAAAATAGACAGAAAAGAGATTATTGCTAGTCCCTACATAATGAAATAATTAAAATTTTGAATTGACATTTTAAAACTGAGCCATAATTTAAGATATTTAATTTATCCTAAATGTCACATTTCCTTATTACTGACGACCACAAAAAAAAACGAAGAATCCAAGACATCCAAAACTGACTTTTCCAGATGCATGTCTCTGTAGAGTGGATGGACTACTTTTATGGATAGATATGCACATGAATTATGTAATTGCCAACTTTATACTATGAGAGAGAGAGAGAGAGAGAGTATTTTTATGCAATTGCCAGCTTTAGACTTTGAGTACTATGGTTGACTCGCGTCTTATCGAGGCATTAAAACCTCCATGCTAATAAGCTTTGGTAAGAACTTACAGTTTCAAATACAAGGGACACAGTACCCAGTGTGGCAACTATGTAATGACCATTAATTATTTTTTTAATTTTTTATTTTTTAAGTAATGTTATTAAAATTTAATTTATTGACCTAATTTACTATGACATTTGAATTGACTATGAATCTTACCAAACATTAAAACATGATGTTGTTTTAATGGTTCCAATGAAGTCACATTATTAGATCAATAAATTAAGTCAAATTTTTAAATCCAAATAATATTACTCTTATTTTTTTGGGAGAAGAAAGAGAAACTTGAACAATTGGATAAAATTTTCACAAGTGGAAGAGTATTATTGGACCATAAGTCATTAGTTTAATGACCATTGGTTAAAGTCATCAAATGGGCGGCCCATGGATAAAGCTTTCTGTGTGCTATCTTTTGGTGAGCAGAGGTGGTCTGCATGGGATTGTTACTTTTTTCTTCTTGGTTTGTTTTTCCTTATCCAACAGAATTTTTCATGAGCCATGAGAGCTGAATATATTATACAAATCAGTGTTTATAGTCTATATGTGCTTGTGGTGCGTGCGAGCGAGCTTAGGCTTGCAATATGTTGACTGACTCATAACACTTTATATATCAATTAAAATGAGGTTATAAATTTTCACCCCAACTCAACTAAATTTAATTCAAAAAAAAAACTGTGTTAAGCAATTAGGGACGGATATTACGAGTCATGTTCCGTCGATGTGCTTTATCAAATCCCATGTGTTCTTGTGAATCTCAAGCTATCATATAATAATGCATAATTAGGTTTCCAAACCCAATTGTAAAGTCATATTAACGTTTCGAAAGAGGCTGCTTAACATTACAACTCCAGCCCCAACAATTGCAAAATAAGGATGTCATGCAGTTGCATTTCATGTCTGATATGAACAAGCAGAGGGCTAATGGACGGTTGGTGCAGGGTAATGTTAATAAGGGTGGTCACTAGCTATATGGATGATTGGTTAGTAGTAACTAGATGATTGTGATGACTTATGCGGTACCACAAGCTTCCATTATTGGTCATCTTTAAAAAGGAAGAAGGATATGATATTCCCTCTGGTGAAAGACCCTAAAACTACTCAAGGATAGCCCATGCAAGGGCAAGTGATGGACTGATATATTTTGTATACATGAGTAGCTTGGAAGAGATTTGGCTATGATTATGAGGAATATTAAGTATATCACAAATCACAGATACGTTCTTGGAAAGCACGCTAACGTCGGAATAAATGTTGTTGTACATATGTTGGTCATAAATGCCTTGATGAAAATGATTTTCATGGCATTTGATAACGTGCATGTTTCGAAGGAGATTTAATATTCGTGGGTATGTTATGCCCAAAATTCATATTCTATGATCCAATATTCCTTAAATTTCATGCATTAATGGCATGGTTGTACATGGGTGTTTTCCTTTTGCTTACTGTTGCTTTAAAAATCTGATGCATGGTTGTGTATGATATGGGGGTAGTTGTTTTTGGAGTTGATGGTAACTGCTTATATTGAATTATATATAGCGATTGTGTATTGAGCATAGACATTGGATCCCGGATCTAGAAGGACTTTGTGAGCCCTTGGTTTTTGTTGGTAATGTGTTAGGGTTGTTATGAAGCTGACAGAGATATGGATAGAGTAGATTTTGTTATTGTTATAATGTTCTCACATGTTTAATCTTTATACCAACTCGCCCAATATCTACTTTCCAAATGGTGCTTTGAGTAAATTTTCCATTGTAGCTTTATCGTTACTTGTATTAAATAAATGATAAACCAACATGTCTTCTCAAGTAATCCAATTTTTCTAAAACAATCACATCTTGGAAAATTTGGGGTGTGCCAAATATGAAGGCAATAATTCAACTTATCTCACTCTCCTTGTCGTAACAAACTAGCTAATAATACTTTTCCAGTTATGTTTTCTATATACACTTCCTTATCTTGATTTGTTTTAATAGACCAGTTGTATTCAAACATAACCTAATGTAGAAATATGGTCAAAAGGCTTTTCTTTTGTTAAAAGTAGAATTGTGATTGCTTCCACCTTTTGTTTGTTTTCATTTGCGAAGACTTTATACCAAGGGCCTTCCCTACTTGGTACTCTAAAATTTTATACTGTTGAAACTAATTTCGTCGCTAAAACAATTTGGCGATGTCTTCTGCGAAAATTATTCTTTGTTGCAAAAAGTTTTACAAAAAGAATATTTTTGACAAAATGCCAAAATCATCGCAACACAAATAGTTTTAGCTACTTTTTGTATGTGTTGCATAAAAATTGTCGCAAAAACTGCAATTTATTGTGGTGACCAACATCAAGTTCTAACAGATCCACTTCTACTCTATACGGAAAGAGACCCTGGTGGCCACAAACTTCTTATTATTTTTTTCATTTTCTTTTCTGTTGAGGAATGTTAGAAGTGGATTGGCAAGGCATGGTTTAAAAAACAGGTTTTTGAACTGGTACACAAGTATCTCTCTTTTACAGGATTAGAGATAAATGATAAATAGTCTTGAATGAAAAGACTAATTCCAAATTCACTTGGATGGACTAGCGATTGCTACCACTCTCTTCCATGTGTAGAAACCCAATACAAAAACAATTTAAAGTTCGTTTTAAACTTAGCCTTAAGTAGTTATGTTTAGCGGATCAGAATGTATAACTAGATGTATAAGGATATCTATGTATATGAGGAATCACCGGACTTTTTTGGATTGATCAGTCTGCCCCAGCATGTGTAAGCAATATGAAAATCAAGAACTCCAAGCCAATCACTGTTGAAAAATAAATTCGCTACTGGTGAGGAAACTGAAAGCTGGATAAACTCTCTGAAGCTCCTCCCCAGAACAAATCTTCATTAAACTCCAATGATGATATAGAGTACTCACGCACTCTATTTTCGGAGACCGGGTTTGAAATTGAAGTTCCATGACTATGATTCTGGCTAGGTTTACTGCTTAACATTGTGTCTGCATCGCCAGGGCTTCTGTTGTCGGAGTTTTGGCCGGTGAGTTCTTGAACAATTGCTCGGAACTCGGAAGGGTTATTGGCTTTCACCATCACAGGGCTTGATATGTACTTCACCTTGATCCCTTCTTCACTGCCTTTGGTGGGGCTTTTACCCTTTAAGTGCTGCTGATAATCGTTGTTTCTATGATTGGTCATTTTCTTAACTTCCTTTTTTTTTGTGTGGGTGAGTGGTTGAGGGTGGGGGATGGCTGCTTTGTGATTTTGTTATGTATATATAAGAGATGTGTCAGAGGTTTTGAGAGGGCTTCCAAGAAATAACTAGCAGAAAGAGAAAGCACGACCATGCAAAGAGATTGAAAGAGAGTACATGTTGGCATTCAAATTTCTAGAATGTCTGCCATGCTACGAAGCTTCGAGCTTATTTCAGATAATGGTAACTGAAACGGGCACCGTAACAAAAGCACAATGGTGTACAGTGTAACCAAAAAAAAAAAAACCGAAGGCATAAATTGTTTTCTACTCATAAGTCATACCTCTTCAAAATTTATATCTATGCATATTCGAAGTCTAAATTCACACAAATCTAGATTATTAGTGACTGATGGTGAGTTGTTTTTTTTTTGATTTTTTTACACCAAAAAATTCAGAACCCTTCCAGGGTTAATTACATTACCCCGTTACAAGGTCATCAAGGCAGCGAATATTTCATTAATTGCTATTGGCGCCTAATGGGAATGGACCCCTTGAATCCCATTATGTAATGGTTGGCTTATATATTTATATAATATAATATAATATAATTTAAATTTTAAAAAATAAATAAAATAACTTTTACTTTTTACGGTCTACATTAATTCTAAATTTGTCTAAATCTTTCTAAATTTGTCTAAATCTGATTCAAAGGCTCATATGAACTTCCCAAACTAGAGATTCCCGCCCAAATTCCCTCCCTTACATTCTCAGTCAATCACCATACATTTGGGCGTATTATAACTCGCCATGTGTCCCTTATCTCTACACTTTTCCCTTACCCTTATAACTGTTCACAGTTCACATCTTCCTCTCCCTCTCTCTCTCTCTCTCTCTCTCTCTCTCTCTCACGTGGACCAGATCCGGCGACTCTCCGGCCAGATTCCAATGAAATCCGAATTCAATACTTACCATTAAATCAAAAGCACAATTTCAAAAATAAAGCAATATGTAATAGATCAATCACGTAGCAATTAAATCCCTATTTTTTGCATTCCACTGCTCAATTGTATAGCAACTGATCTCTTGACTGCAATGCTAACAGTAAACTTTATCGGGAGATGCGTCTCTAACATATATTCAAAATACGGTCCAAATGAATAAATAAAACAAACAATTCAAACCTTAAAATTGTCAACAATGGCTTCCGTCGCCAATAAGGGAAAACAAAGAAGGCGACCACAAATTTCATAAAAATTTCATAAGTTTAGTGTATTTATATTTGACCCTTAAGTTTCAAAATAATATTGTAACCCCATAACTTTTATGAAAATTCATCTTCTTCATAGAACTTTGAGACATCTTGTGACACATTTCTTAGAGCGTGTGGGTCGATATCTATAACCAATGTTGGAAATTTCAATTGCTTATGACCAATTCTTTTCTCCCTAATCTCTTTCTAGCATATCAAATAATTCAAAATAGAGTGTAAAAGTAAAGTGTATACTGTCTCTGACTCCCATCAGTAATCACATATGTTTGTCACAAAATTGTGTCGTAAATTCATTTTTTCATTTTTGAGTGTTAAAGAAGTATTTTGTCTAACATTTTTGTGAAGCCATTAAAGCTACTATCTAGAGTGTTTTCTTTTAATCTTTTGTTGAATTGGCTACAATTTCTTTATTTAAAACAACTTAATATATATATTTGGACATTTATGCTATTTGCATGGTTGATTTCGAAGATGTGATTGAGGGGAGTATCTTTCTTATATATATATATATATATAATAAAATAGGAGTGTGTTTAAATTTTGTCCAAGTCATATTTTCTCCCTCAAAGCCATCATCAATCACTTACCTCACTCATTATCCTTTTGTCAGACTCAAACGTCAAATTGTATCACTTATTTCTATCATATGTTTAATTATTTATATATTTTTTTCTTAAAAATATCACATCATTCATTTTTATTATATTTAATCATTTAATATTTGATTAATTTGTAATTAATATATTTTTAAAAAAATTAATATAATGGGATCGATTTTTTAGACGCTCGAATTTTATATTTTATCGTGCCTTCATGCACGGATTATAACTGGTATATATATATATGACATACAAATTATGTTTGCCGGCAGCGAAGCCGACTGGATTTGTTGAAGGTATACTGTTAGAGGAATTAATGAAGCTACTTTTACCATTGGCTTCCAATTGGGGTGATGGTATTTATTTGAAAACGTTAAAAGTGATCTTTTTAAATAGTGTTACAAGAGAGGAGATATTCTATACACATAGATTGATATTGTCAATTGGATCATATTTTCAAAAAAAACTTTGTCGAAACAAACTACATGCTTTCATTACATTGCGTAATAATATATTCGTGATTTTGTTTTTCTCATAGTGGTTTTATGTTTTTATGTGTATTGTCATAACTAAATATAATACGTTAATGGTAATAGTGTTACTCAACGGGTGGTTGAATGTTGAAATAGTAGATGTTGGTATAATGAAATATACATTTCTCAATGTTCTCAGCGCTTTTTTATTTACTATATCTTTTAATTGACAATAATTTTTTTTATTACTCCGTATCTCTATACACGAAAAAATGACTAGTCTTATTTATATGTTAGGATTCATATAGACCACTTTTATTACTTAGTAAATGTTACGTGGCAAAATTAGTTTTTGTTTTAAAAGAATTGGCTAAAAAAATAGTTATCAAATGGTACGTTTTGTCACATTTGACTTCCATAGCTGTCAACTTTTACCGCAAACTTGCAGCCACATGTTTCTGCTAACAATATGTAGAAAATTCACAAGGACTTGACGGATAAAAAATATTGGTATGGTAATTCTAAAATTTATTATTTTAATAAATATTTTTATATTTTTTAAGAGTTATTTTATATTAAAATCAATTTATTATTTTTATAGATATTTTTACCATTGTTATAAATATTTTTATCACTATTTGCCATTTTTTTATGGTATAAAAAATTTATTATTTTTGTGATTAATTTATCACATTTATGAGTGATTATACTACTGTTATATGTGTTTTTATTATTGGTATAATAATTATTTTTATCATTTTTTTGATATTATAATAATAATAATAATATTTATAAATATTAAAAATAAAAACATAATATTATTTTTTTCCGATAGCATAGACAACAACTCTCAATATTATATTTGATTCGAATCAATGATTTTCTCAAATCACAGTCCAGCAGAAAAAAATTTAAATGTCTATACATTGAATCTGCCGAAGATGACTCGTTCCTAGAAGGAAAAACAAAAACCATGAAAAAATCTACCGTACTGATTTGAAACCGTACAATCTATATAATTTAATGAGTTCAATGTTACAACTCGTGAAATTCAAAGAATTGAAATTTCCATTATAAAACTTAGGATTGATTAAAAAAAGGAGAATTGACCCAATTTTTTTTTGAATCGATCTTATTGAATATATTAACTTGACATGTTTGAATTACAACTTAAATTAATTCAACCATATCTTCTTTCTTGGTGACTTAAAAATTCAAAAAGACTTACTTGATTTTCTCTTTGAAATCTATCAAGAGCTCCGTGTCGTAGACCGTTAGCCAAGTGTTAGGGGTGTTTAAATTTTTGATTACCCGTAAATTTTGACATTATCTTATTCTATCCGACTCTATTGATTGACTACCTGAAAGAATCAAATAGGCCAATAGAAGATTTTTTAATATTTTGTATGTGTGTGTGTGTGTGTTAATCCCTAAAAATTAAATCTAAAAATCTAGAAATTCTAATATTTTATTATGATTTTCTTATATATATGATGTATTGATTAAAATGAAAAGTTTTCTAGAAAAATAAAAAAGAATTGGCCCTAGAACTAAAATATCCTTAACATATCAATCTAATGAGAAAAAGGGTAAGTGAGCAAAACAAGAAAAATAGGCAACTTTCATAGGAAACAAAAATTTCCCCCCACAATTTGTGGGAATCCAGAGTAGATGTTTATGAGAAAATTTGATACTTAAGGGAAAAAAAATTTCTGGAAAAATTGTACTTTCTAGGTAATCAAACAAAGAAAAAGTTAGTTTTTTTTTTTAATTTTTTAATTTTTCTTTACTTTCCAGTGTTTTGATGGTAATGGAATGAAGCCTTAAAAAAAAAGGTTATGGTTCTCTCTCTCTCTGCAGGAGGGTTCGAAAAAGTGGCCCATGAAATTAGACTTGATTCTTCAAGGAGATCCCACCTTACCAAACGATGAAACTTTTTCAGTGGAAAGAAAATTAAGAATGGGTGAGCACGTTTGTTTATCAAAAAAAGAAAAAAGTGATTGACTAAATCAGCTGCACACAATCACAGATTTAGACCATTTTTCTTATTCAATCACTAAACCAACCGATGCATCCTAATGTTGGGTAATAACCACCATTATGTTGAGGGTATTATCAGTTGATTGGGGGTTGGATAATTGGATTCTTAATGAAACTGAATTTTTTTTACGGATAATTGTCAAGGGGGTATACCAAATAATATATATTAGCCTTAAAGTATATAGTTCATATTGTTAAGTAATTTAGTCGTCATTTTCTTAACTTTATTGTGTCCTAGTATACATTTTGAATTTTTCAAAATTTTTTTGACATGTTTACATTTTTCGTAAATCATGCATACTAGATATGACAGTTATTTTGTATTATGAATTTGTTATATTATATTAAATAATTTCTAAATTTATAGATGACATATATTGTCAGTATCTTTTGTCAAAATAACATTTATTCTTTCTAACATCATCTATTTTGAACTATATTTTCAGTATCTTTGACATTAAATGTATCTTCTTTATTATTCTTCAACAATCAACCATTATCGATTTTCTTCTTCTCCAACCAGTTGTTGTTTTTTATTTTCTCCCATACACCAGTGATCTGATTATATATCAGGTTCAAACTAAAAATCAATTATCAGGTTTGAAATTATGATTTAATTCATTTTTTATATAATATTCGTGTTGTTTAATGTTCTA